CAGCTAAGAATCAAAAGAAGATAAACAAGATTAGCTAACTATTACTCTGAACAAAAGTAACAACCAGTTTTCTTGATACAGTTGTTTTCCTAGAGATGGATTAGGACAAAGTAGGCAGTTAGCAGTGTCAATGACGAGACCAATAGAGCAAAGACAAACCAAGCACCTTAGAAGGTGTGGATCTCAAGGGAATGCTCTTTTCGAGCAACACAATGGACATTTGTACTGCTTGATGTGCTCAGCCCTGGCAGGAGTTATCTTAACACAATTGCCGTGGAACCATCTCTCGCATCTGTCACAGCAGATCCAAAATTCATCTGAGGCATAGTTTTCCCGGCATGCTCCACACAACGTTTCACCATGCTCTTCTTCTTCATTGAGTTCCTTGTCGTCATCATTTTCTTGGACCTTGGAGGGTTTTCCCTAAGATTTAGAAACATTGTCGATTTTATTATCTTTACGTATGTATGTCGCATGCAATAGGAACGGCATTCAACGAAAGTGAGAAAATATGATTACTTGATAAAAATATAAACACAATTAAGGTAATAGTTCTTCAACTTCCAGAATAAACTCTCCGGTTTGCGCCTCGTAAAAAGAACTACCAATGGTAAACTTGACTCCTTGCAATCTATTTTCCACCAGCAAGTTTACCAATGATTATCATTGTGTTGCTTAATTTTTTTCCACACTGAATTCCAGGACTAAAATTCCTTGAAGAAGATTTAGAGTGCCAGGTAACTTGATGGGTAGGGTACTACTTTTAAGATCACGTTGCTCCAAATATACAACCTCAAGTGGTGAATACACCTTCCTCTCAATCTCTTAATAATAGAATTATGTTATGGCAACGTATATTAGGACAAAAACATTTATTTCTTTCAGGGTCAAATTTTAAGTTATCTACGAGTCAAATATCTCATTTTCAATGCAACCTAATCAAAAATCCGCATCATTTGTTCCCCAACATAGTAATATTTGGACCATTCTGATAAGATCCCAAACAATATTCATCCAACAGCAAGAATGATGAATTGATTGCCGCTAATTTGAAGATATTCCCGATAATTTCAACAAACAGAAATGGAATTGAATTGATGTTTATATAAACTTGAATGAACAGGAACGGAATGGCGTAATGAAAGTAATGAAAATACAGATCGTCTTAGGGAGGCTCCCTTCTCTCCTACAACAGACTTATTTCTGAAGGAATGAAAAGACAACCCTCCCCCCCTTTTATTCACAATTTGGTTTCTACTTTTTATTCTATAACTTCCCCATTTCCCCCCAACAACTAACTAATTTGCAAAATTGGCAAGTGACCATCTGGTGCCTCATTTAGTACATTTTCTTTTCCTGCTGAGCATATATTAAGTATCTGGGGCCTATCATATTATTGCGTTACTAATACATCAGGAACAAGATGGTTTAGTTGATAATCACATGCGTCTTTAATAGGTCTATTTGCTTAAAGAAAATTTGGAGGCAAAAGGATCTTTAAAAATTATTATACTATGATGAAAACTGATTTGGAGCACAAAATTGAGTTCTCAGAAATAATTAAGGGAAGGATTGTTTTTCTAAAATAAAAAATTCAAAAGAAAAAAATGTTACCTAATTATCACATTTTAATATACCCACATAAAATGCTATAGTTGACAGAAAAAATAAAACATTTGTTAGAAGTTGCACGATCCCTTATCTTTACCACTAGTTTACCATAACTTTTTCCATGACAGTTTCTATAGCCTCTATTTGATAAGTTACATGCCTATACACATTTTAAAAATCAAACCCTTTTGATTTCCTCCACCCCAAACGAATTCCCGAAGTAAAATTTTTAGTTCTTTTCCCTATTAGTCTATTACAATCTTGGTTTATGTGGCATTTGACCACGTGCATTCGTGCGCAATTATTTTAGACGTAAACTTGACTCACTGGCACCGTGGTTTCTAGGGATATGCTATCATTCCAAGTCCAAGAAACTGTTCATAAACTTGGATTCCACTTTCGGAATATTCCTTTTGAGAAATTCTTCCACTGCCTATTGTTCAAAAGGAGTTTTTCACTGCCTATTAAGTCGCCACACCACGCACGTGCCATTAACTATAATTGAAAGACGTTATGGAGAAGTCCGACCACTGTGCCCTAAGCTTCTTCTCTATTCTAGCTGGCTAGATCAAAAAGGGACAGAACATGCACGTGATCATCTTCCTACACCAAAGCCATGACTTAGATTTGAATACTGAGGAAATGGCAGCAACACATAATCGTGATGCAATGTATCAAGCCTTTACTTCTAAATAATACCTGTGATCTTCCATCTTGTCAATATTCATATCATATAATAGTCATCATCTTCTTACAGAGCCTTTACATCTAATTTATCAAGTGTGTAAATTCCAAAATCTTAGGAAGCTCTAAAAATTAAAATGGAGACATGAAGTCGGGGAAGAGACGATGACACTTGACAAGTGATGGCCTATCAAGATGAAAGACTCTCGTCGGTTGGGTATTTACTAAGATACAAGGCTGATCGGGCAGTAGATAGATACAAGGGAAGACACATTAAATAGGGAGTGGAGTCCTACATTTTGTCTTTGTTAAATATGTGACCCTAATTTATAGTATCTCATTTATAGGGACTTGTCCTGTAAATAGCTTGTATATATATATATGTATATTAGGGATTTAATAAAATAAGAAAACAGAAAAAACATTTCTTCTCTCCTCTGTTCGATATCATGGTATCAGAGCGCCGGCCAAATACATTTGAAATTTCTTGCGCTCTCTTCACCGCCAGTCGCCGGTAGGGTTTCGTGGGTAGCTCTTCATTTTCCGGCAGCTCCCGTTCAAGTCTCGTGCGCCAGAAGTTTCTTCTTTCGGCAGTTGCTTCTCTGGCCAAGTCTGTTTCTGTTCACGTCGCGTCGCCCGGTGCCTTTTCTATTTCTTTTCCGGCCGCTCCTGCTTGCTGGAGCCTCGTTCCAGCTCAAGGTAGTTTGGGCTTTTCTCGTCTCTACCGTTGCTGTCCATTTTTCGGCGATTTCTGCTCGGGTCGACTGCCCACTAGCCGTTCGGACCTCGCCCAGAGCTGTTCGAGCTTTGTCCGGCCTTTAGCAGCTGGAATCTGGCCTTGTGTGCATTATTCGAGCTCTGCACGAAATTTCAGCAACTGAAATCTGGTATTTTGTGCCTTTAATAGCTGGAATCTGATCCTTTTGTGCACTGTTCAAGCTTTGCACGAAATTTCAGCATTGGTTTGGGTCAGCACTTGATTTGGTGTGGGACCTACTGTGGAACAGGTTCGGTTCTTCAATTTTCTCGACGGTGTTGAGGTTCTTGCTTTGTTATTTATTTGGTATTTGATAAATGGCGGATAAGTCTTCTGTTGTTGTGCCTGATATGATTCCTATGATGTCAAAAATCACGGAACATAAACTTAACAGATCTAATTATTTAGATTGGAGTAAAACTGTTAGATTGTACTTGCGAAGTATTGCTATGGATA